TCTATAATATAGGGGTTTTTTGGGTTAGAGAACATGAATATGAATGTGTCGTTAAACCCGCCACCACCCGACACAGCCAATTAGTAAGGTTTGTCACGTAAACAGAACGTGGCCAATTCGTTACTAGTACAGCACGCCGGTGTGTTGGAGAGCAAGTCCACAGATTACTCAGATTGTAAATGTTATGAATTTTCTCTCCAACACATCCCTGTGCTGTACTCGTAACGAATCGGCACGTTCTGTTTACGTGACAAACCTTACTAATTGGCTGTGTCGGGTGGTGGCGGGTTTAACGACATATTTATATTTATACTATCTAACCCAAAAAAAACTGTATTATGGATGATATTGGTTGCGAAAGCCTATGCGTTAAACTGAGATGACTTCTATTGATAAATAACAGCCATCATCTCCCAATCAGGGTTTCCAATGCATTTACGTGCCACTCAAAATGACGTCAAAATCGAATTTTAAATCACTGTGAAAAAATAATGTACAGCCCTTTGTAAATGCGCCGGTGGACTGAAGGACTCCTCTCACACACACACACTGTTGGCTGTGGGTCGAGTTGTTTGACCAAAGTTCACCGGGCTGGTCAGTGCGGCTTGGTGAGGTAGGAGTGGTGTCCAAGGGCAGGACCGGTTCAGCTATCGCTCGCCACTGATGTTAGCCGTGGCCTGGAATCGAACCCAGGTTACCGGTGCAAGTGAACACTGCCGCACCAATTCCTTAGTCAGGCCAACGGCAATCAATAATAATCAAAATGAAAAGACTCCGGAAAGATTCAATTTATTTTTTTAATTATAACAATAAGCTGATTGATGATGGAGAACAACACTCTCTCTTCCCCGTGAACTTTCTTCCCCGTGTCGGCATAGACGCTGTCGCATTATTGGGGGGGGGGGGGGGGGGGGAAGATAAATTAAAGATTTACAACTGGAGCGGGAATAAGATTTATGACGGCGCGTCTCTTCATCCCGTGTTTATTGTATCATGGAACCCTCCAAACTTTTGTAACGACGATGGTGGGCGGGCGGGCGGGCGGGCGAGCGGGCGGGCGGTGGAAGACAAAAGTTGAAGGAATCCTCGCGAAAATTAAAAGCGACTGCTCCGACTCCTGGCTGACTCCACCCGAGGATGTGCGACGAGAAATAGGGAAGGCGGTAACGAACGAACGAACTACGATTGCTCAATACCAATTTATCTGAACACATAGAATGCGGGCGCGCTTATTGAGAGAGGGAGAGAGGTTGGGGGTGGGTGGGTGGGGGGGATGTAAATTGCCTCGGCATCAATATTGTAATCTGTGCTTTCAACAAGAGCTGAGAAACGGAGGCATGCGAATGTGTCTTCATTGCATTTTCAAGATGAGATTTACTGCGTCAATAAAACAATTCGCGAAAAAACCTCCTGTAAGTTTCATACGCGCGCACACGCGCGCGCGCGTATGTGTGTGTGTTTGTGCGGGCACACTCATGTGTGTGTACTTCCCCCGTTCCAGCCTTCATAGGTGCTCCCTAACAGCACTTGCCCCAACAGTATGTTTAGGCTATACAGGGGATCTCTGTTTTTGTCTTCGCACTTGTCACAACAGTCTGTTGAGTGCTATACGGGGTCTTTGTCTTACGGGCAGCGGTCGTATAGCGGTTAGCGCGCCGCGCTACAAAACCCGGCGACCCGAGTTAAATGCCCACTCACAACCAATATCAGCGGTAAATATTTGAACCGGTCCTGGGCCTCTCTCCTAGGTTGACTGAGCCTTAAACGAGTACCCTGTGCAGTATGTAAATAGCACTGAAGAGACAAACGGGGCCAGGCATTGATTGGGCCATACCAGCGTCTCTCCTGTGTCGTGCCACCCTGGAAAGATGCTCGCAAACAGCACCCGATGCAATAGTTTAATAGGCTACACGGTGGGGCGATCCTTGTATTTACATTTCAGATAGGTCGATGGTCGTGCAATTATTCAATTTCCTGGCCACGCACAACCTATAAGTGGTAATTGATCTTGTTATGGGTCTCCTCTAGGTTAACTCAGCCTGAAATGAGTACCCAGCCCAGTGTGGAAACATCAGCACCGTGGAGCTAACAGCTGCCGTCTCTGCACGGTGCCTGGCCACACCACCCACCGCCGAGGCCACGGCCAGCCTGAGCATGCCCTCGCTGATGGCACTCGACTCTCAGTCGGTGCAACTTGATTGGAAGCCTCTGTGCGTCTCGCGGGGAGCAGTGGTGTAGCAATTAGCACGCTTCGCTATGAACCCGGCGACCCGAGCTCTATTCCCACTCACGGTCAATACCAGTGACGGTTGTCTGAACCGGTTCTGGGCCTCTCCTCAGTCAACTCTGCCTGAAATGAGTACCTGGTGCGGTGTATAAACATCATCACTAGGCGGAGACAAAGGCGGCCGGGCATGGTACTGGCCAACCCACCACCCCCCGCCGTGCCGTTCCGGCCTTCAAAAGGTGCTCGTTAATGGAACTTGCCCCAACAGCCTGTTTTGAGGCTACACTGGGGGATCTTAAGTCTCCGTAGATGTTCGCATGTGCGCACGTTAGCGCGTTTGTGTTTGTAAGTTGCCGGTGAAATCCCGAAGCTTGCGAGCGGATCGCCTGCTCCCACCCCCCCAGGCACTTGCTCGAGAGTGAATCCTGCTCGACGCGATACACAAACACGGTCCGGGGCCACGTCTCCCGCCAGCTCACGGGCAGGGGTGGGGGCAGTGACAACGAAAGGGGGTCGTCAGCTGCGGACAGAAATAGCCGTTCGTATGAAACTGTTACGTCATTTGTTTCTCTCATTTATTCGGTGGCGAATTATAAACATTGCTTGCTCCCGGGCCAATGCCAATAAAGCGGCGCAATTCGGCGCGTGCGCCGCTTCCGCTGTTCCGCCACCTCGCCCAGCTCGCTGGAAATCAGATAAATATCGGGTTGCGCAACAGCCAATTGGGGCTACCTGGCGGGATGATTCATTCCAAAATGAACGGTCCAACCCCAGAGAGGCGGGCGGGCCGGCCTGGGAGATGGCAAATGGCACTGCGGGACCAGACAGGGCAGCAGCGCGGGTGGGGGGGAGGGGTGGTCGCCAGGTGCCGGTGAGATAGCGGGGCCCGGGGAATTTGAGAGTGGGATGGAGGTGGGAGGAGATGTGGGGGCGGGAGGTGGGGGGAGGTGGGAGATGTGGGGGTGGGAGGGGTAGGTGGGAGATGTAGGGGGGGGAGATGTGGGGGGAGGTGGGAGATGTGCGGGGGGGAGGTGGGAGAAGTGTGGGGGGGAGATGTGTGATGTCACTCGCCCCTGATGCTAACCGTGGCTGGGAATCAAACTCAACGATTAACAGTGAAGGCACTAACCGTTGTACCACTGCCATGAACCCTCAATTAGTCTCAAGATATATATTTTTAAAGAGGGGATGTTGGCATTGGGACGTTGGCCAATTCCAACATAAATTAACGTTTGGCTTAGTATGGATGGAAACCAGAGTGCATGGAGGAAACCCACTCTTGCACACAAGGGGATAACCCTCTGAATCCTCTGCACAAACGGATCAAGGAATCTACGGCTGTACTGCTGTCCCCTGGCCACCTTCCAGCCCAACACCGGATGATATTCGGAGGCAGTCTCCCATCGGAGCATTCGCGAGTATGGGTGTAATGATTCACCCCCCCTCGTAATTCAACACATTTCCACAATTCGGGTTCAGAATAGATTCACGGTAAGGGGCCTCTAAGTGATTGCAGGAATCAAATTAACAAATGGTATACAATAGACACGAGTAGAAATTCATCAATTCTCATACACACACACGATTCGGTGTGTGTGTAACATGAGGGTGAAAACGGATATTAAGCAATGAATCGACGCGTCACTACCCTGTTACGGAACAGGCCCAAGTCTACTTGGCTTGCGAGGTCTGACGACATCGTGTACCATTCGGGGTAATTTTGTCACGGGAAAAAAAAGTGTACGTTTAAGGGCGGTTCCAGGATTTTTGGACGCAAATTTCGGACACCTCAAAGACGTGGGCAATACTTGGTATAATCATGAAATGGCTCTGTACTCGCGCAAAGTATGTCAACCGTTCAGCACAGTAATCAGAAAATAAAGTTGGACCAACTTCCTTGACGAGGTTAAAATGGCCATTAAATACCGCAGTGTCGGACGTGCTCAGAACGGCCTCCTCCGCGCTGGGGTGGTGACGGTGCAGACTCAGCGGTGAGATGTTATCTCCCTTGCCCGGTGTGCAGCAGGCCGTGGGTTCGATCCCGACCCTGATGCCTGCTGTATAGTTTGCATGTCTCTCTCCCCCGTGGTCGCGTGGATTTTTTGTCCGGGTCCTCCGGTTTTTCCCCTCCACATTTAGAATCAACATGCTTTTGGAGTATTTGGCTGCTATACATTCGCACGTGATAAGCCACTTCGTGGAGCTATCATTTAAGGCTACATATAGCTCAGTTGGCCTTACCTGGTAAAAGTAAAAAATAAGTTAGACCCACGCACGTGTCAGTACCATCGACTTAACAAATGAATAAGCCACGTTTCCCAAAACTGCGGACAATCACCTTCGAATCGACGCCGCATGCGACGTGTTTCGGGTGGCGGAGCGGCGGCGGCGCGAGGATGTAGCAACCTGAATTTGATTCCATCAGTGGCGAGTGATGCGACGCTTGAACTGCGCGCCCCCCCCCCCCCCCGCTTGGCCAATCCGCAGCGGTGGGTGAGGCTACAAACAAACTACCCCCCCCCCCCCCGCTCCCCGCAACCCCACCGATGAAGCGGCACAGTCTGGGGAGACCTTCATCCAGTCTGCCGACTACGAGGTTGCCTCATTTGTGGTGGGGGGGGGAGGGGGGCCTGCCCTCGGAGACTCGCACGTTCGTGTCACCCGGCGTGTGGTGCCGGCGCCGCCGGAAGGCGTGTGTCGTGTGGAGGCGGAAGGGGGGCGGGGGGGGGCAGGGGGGGGGCAGGGGGGATGTGTGGGGCTGGGCGACGCGTACTTGGGGTGGCGAATGTCGGCGAGCGCCCTGTCCAGAGCGATCTTGTTGCTCACGTAGATGTTGAAGCCGTTCTCCCGGTAGGCCGCCTCCGAGCGGTCCTCGTCGGTGAGGGCAAAGGGCTTCCCCTGCTCGCCGTTACCTGGGATGGGAGGCGCGGGGGAGACGGGCGGGGACGGGGGAGGGGACGGGGGAGAGGACGCGGAGAGATACGGGGGGTGACGAGATGTCAGCGGTGACAACCCGACGATCTGACTTCTGCGTGCGCGGGAAGGAGTGTGAGCGCACGTGCGTGCGTTGGGAGAGATGACGCGGTGGTTCGCAAACTGTGCTACGAAACCTATGCATCCAGGTAGGCAGACGTGTCCGTGTGTGCGTGCGCGAGCGTGCATGCACGCATATACACGCAAAGCTGGCACAGTGGGCAGCGCAGGTGGTAAGCTAGTCAACCCATAACACCCTGGGCGCCGTCTCCTTGACCTGACAGCGAGCCTTCGACACTTCAGCGAGTCTTGCACAAGCGCCGTGGTGACGCCACCGCCAATCAGTGGCGAATGGCGGTTTTTGTTTGTTTGTTGTTGTTTGTTTGTTGTTGTGTATACCTCTGCGGGCCGCGTCTTTCCGGATGGCCTCGTGGTCATGCCAGTCTTTAAGGAGTGAGCCTTCTGGCTCTCCGGCATCTGGGTTTCCGCGGCCGGCAGCACGTGGTCCCATGGCCAGTCCCAGCGCCCCCACGTCCACGGGAAACACCGGCCCCGGCTGCCGAACGCAGACGAACGACAACACCGATGACATTGGTAACGAGGCCATGGCCGTAGAAACAATACGTGGTCCTCAATGCTTCTTTGCGCGCTTGGGACGGCATATGAAAGAATGTGCAAACCTGGCGAGAGAGTCTTAATTGCTGTGGACTAGAGCATCATATATTGTATTTGTGTGGAGACGCAGGAAAGCGCCCGATGTTTGAACTGCCTTGTAAGCGTTCAAGGGGAAGGGCCCGCACCTCCGATTGGCCACGTGCGTTGCGCAATAATTTAAACAAACACACACACATCCTCCTAGCGGCAGTTATTTAAGGTCAGTAAGCCTTATCAACATTACTCCCTTTGAGTTAGTCTGTATGTTACAGTATTAGCTAGAGCAATATTGTTGTACAGAGTCAAGTAAGGGTTCATTCTGATCGCATGGAACCAGAGTCCAATGGTACTGATGATGAGTAATGACCTTTGACCTAGGAAACACCTTTTTTTCCACCATACTCCGGCTAGTTTTTCGCCAGACAATGTGGCACACGCAGCTAAAGACGACTACTGATATTGGCGAATTATCCAAAGTCAGAATCTTCCAGAAACTCAAGAGTCACATCAACCATCTGGAGGCGTACCTGGGTAAAGGATTTGATTATTAATGTCGTAATTTCGACTGACGTGCAGGTAAATCGAAGGCAGCTTATGTGGCACATTAGAAATGGACCACTTTTTAAATTTTTTCTTCGTGCAGCAAGTGAGTAAAGTGTGGTTTTGTGAAAGTCCTTATGTGCTGTGCAGTACATCAATGCACGTGTGTACGCCAGCACGCAATAACTGAGTTGGGCCTGTGGGTGGCTGGCAGGGTTATTGATTAAACGGACTTGTACACCAGTCACGTGGTTAATGGCGACTCGGTTCAAGAATTGCTGTGCGTGACACACGTGCTGTTGCATCTTACAGATTGTCCACAATAAATGTGTTTGCCCTCGATTTTGAGCACCTGCCCACGTCCTTCATTTCGAGTGTGCAACACTTATACATTAAAAAAACTACATTTCATCGTTTCTTGAGGCTCGGAAAATACCGCTATGTTAGAACATTACTGGAGGCAGCATTGTTAAACAACAGGTGCTTTAATTGTTTTTTTTAAAGTAAATTAAACACAGATTACACAAACAGAAGAAGACTCAAACGGACGCAATGCATTGCGGCAGCGTCTGCCTGCACAGTGGGAGGGAGACGAGGCGCAAATGTTTTCCCCCAAAATGATTGATTTTAATTAAAAGCCCACCATCGCCTAGGGTAAATATACGGCGCTTAAAACAGCAAAAAAGAAATGCGGGACGTACATACATTAAGAAAAGCGAAAATTTTCCACGGAACAAACGAGACCGCATTCGGCTTCAGAAAATAAATAATGGGGCGGGGAGGGGGACATGTAATGAATACAGAATTTAAAATACAACTGCTACAGCGGTATTGCTGTCAAATGTCGAAGGGCGTAATGGGGAGGAAGGCTTTTTGACAATTCCGGCAATTTAAATCGAGGACCGCGGGCAGAGTTTCCTTGATAAAAAAAAACACGAAAAAAAATCGGTCCTCGTCAGCAAAGGACGACGAAACGTGGGGAGATATCGTGCGTGAGTTTACGCACGCACGAAGACAAAGATCCCCACCACCCCGTCCTATAACCTAATAGACAGTTGGGGCAAGCAACGGCGGAGCCAGGATTTTCAGGTATGGGGGGCAACCCCTCCAGCAATGAAAAATGATAGGACTTGTTAATAAGTAAGGACTTGTCCCTTGCTTTTTATTCGACGCGTGTGCGGCATTCCCTGCTCTTGCATGGGACCCCTTAAGGCAAACGCGTGACGTGCCTGATGAGAAGAGACAGGCAGCAGACGAGCTGCATTCTACACGACCCACCCACTCACAAATAAGCCATCACACATGGACAGATCTGGGTTGCGGGGGAATCAAAGAAAATGACACGAAAAAAAGAAGAAAACTTTTTATACAATTTACAACTAAATCAAGCAAGCTGGCTCAGGCAAAAGTACGAATTAAAGGTGAACATGCTCGCACAAGCGCCTATAGTATTTGGCTGCTATAAATTTCCACGTGATGAGGCACATCACTTGTGGCCAGGTTGCTTCTGAAAAAGAGCGACACAGCTCAGTGAGCCTTACCTGGTAAAATAAAAAAATGAGTTTAGTTTAGAAGGTTACATATGACTCGTGCGCTTATTCTCACAGCTCTCTCTCTCTGGCTTGTTGTTAAAATCTCCAGCAATGCCTACGGATCCCTGCATGGTTCGAGCAAAGCACTGTTAATGCGGGAGCAAGCCAGCGTGGGCCAAGGGGTGCAGCCACGTTTAGTACGAGTACCTCGGTGTCAAACCGCTGATCTAGTTTCACCGTCACCTCTATGCCAGCCGGGACGGCCAATGCACATGTCTTCACGAGCCCTCACAAGTGTCACCACCTGTCCTGCTTTCCTGGGGTCATCGTCTTGTTGAGAGAGGTAGCTGCTGCCCTCGCAAATCTGCGAGTCTTCACGGGCCGTTACAAGTGCCGGATATTTGTCAGCTGCACAGTTCCGCCCCCTCTTGCGCTATTCTGAGACATTCATCTTCCCACCGGCAGCAAAACCCCCAAAACCTTCCCTCGCAGAAGCCAGGAACTGTCGATCCCTCGTTGGATGAGGGCCTCCCCGCCCCGTGCACGTGGTGGGGGGTTATTTGACCATACTTGACCACCCCGGTCAGTGCGGGTTGGCGAAGCGACGGCCCGGCACCGGTGGAGAAACCGCCCGCCGACGACGTTAACCGCGGCGGGGCCGAAACTCACGCCGCCGTGGTTCGTAGTGCGGCGCGCTGACCGCTTGGGACCGGCAGTGCTCCCAAAAGGGAGCGCGGTGCGAGCTCGACAAGGGACAGATGCCGCGCTGCCCTCTGCCGACAGCGCCGCCCCACCACGAAAGCCCCGCAACAACCCCCCGGACAACCCGGGACAAAACGGCACTGGCAAACGAAACGCTCCGTCTCTTGCGGTGGCGACGGCGGCGGCGGCGATGGCGGACAACGTCACGACGACGGCCGCCGATCGGAACTTTCTTTGCACCCACCCACCCCCCCCCGGCGAGAGAAAAACATTTTTCTCGTCCTTTTAAAATTCAAGTGAGCGGAACAACAAGCGAATGTGATGTCCATTATTGCCCAGCTCTAATGAGCCTTGAAAGTGGTGTTGCTGCGCTCCCCCGCTTAGCCGCAAAACAGATTGTTCCCCCGGCAAGTGACCCCACAGTCGAGCGCGTGCACGGTGGGAGAGCCCCGTCGGCATGCCGCCGTGCGCCGTGATTCGCTTACTAAAAGAAAGGGGGGGGGGCGGGGGGGTGCGACGAGGGGGGAGGGGGGGGTGAGCTCCCACCCGTTATTTGGGGGGGGGGGGCGGGCGGAGGGGAAATATTCAACGTACGCATTCTTCGGCAATAAAAAAAAGAATACGCACGAATGTATCATCGCAATGTCGCACGGCTCCGTGACGCGCCGCTATCGTGCCCGCGCGTCGCCTTTTGCGACGTGCGCCGGGAGAGCGTCCTCGAAATTCCGTTCCCGACGACAGCTGCTAACAACCGGAAAGCACGCGGGAGATCAGTGATAATATTGATTTTGACGTCGTGTGTACATATAATGCCGTCCATGCAAACTGCATCTCAAAACGGCTGTAGAATTTATAACGCGAGTGCCGTTCTCACGTGACGGTGTGGGAAACCAGGGACAAAGCCGCGCCAACTATTCGCCCAAGCTCTGCGGTCCTATGTTAAGATGTCTTGTTCTGTGATGTCACTTTTTCCGGGTGCCGTTATACATTTATATCACTCCACGTGCTTGGGAGCTTCTTCAGGAACTGAATTCAGTTCCCAAAAAACGCATCGGAGAGCTGCACAGGAGCGAACGCGAACAAGCACGCAGGGGTGATATCATTGCGCCTTCCGGTCGCGACGATATGGCGGAGGATGTTCAGGAGGATTTGGAAACCCTTTTTCGTCACAAGCCTCTTGATAACATGATCACACTGGGATGCGATCTGACAGTTTTACTTTGTTCAAAAACAACCGAGTATCCGTATTCCTTATGTCTCCGAACACCCACCCCCCCCCCTCCTCCCACAGAAGAATGCCTTTATTGATGTTGCTGTCATTTATCGGCGGCTGTTCTTGGTTGTGTTGATTCGTGCAGACAAATAAAAAAAAGTTGGGAGGGGAAAAAAAGAAAAACAACATTGTAAAGAATGTAAGAATGGAAACGATAAATTGCCAGGGCTGATGCCTTGTGGCATCAATGCTGACACGGTGGCCTTTTCTAAAAGATAGCGGTGGCAGGGAAAAATAGGAGTAGGAATAATGTTTTTGGTAAAGCAGATCATTCAGAGCTTATCTTGTCCCGAAAGTGCAAAAGCAGCGCCTGACCACGGCGATAGCCCTCACAATGACGCGCGGAAACCAGAGGGGGAAATAATAAATTAAACGAACATCTTAAGACTTTGAGCTTTTTGTGTCTCATTAGTTTAGGTGGCAGACAAATTTAGATTATGAGAGGCTCAAGCTATCCCACTGAATTATAAGAGCACCAAATCACAGTATTAGTAGTTCTCGTTTTTGTTTTACGTACGGGATTAATCCACACACAACCGTTGGAAATGTCGAGTCTGCTCTCAAATCTGACGAAGGCGAAACTGCCTCGGCCTAACGCGTTCACGAGCGCAGCACCCGAGGTGGCGTTTGGGAAAAAAATTCACCGCTCCCCATGCATTCAATCCCTTGAGCTATTTCACGTGGCAAATTTCCGGGAAGCACGTTCATCAGACGAGTCACAATTCAAGTCGTCGTCAGTTAAACTACATTCTTTATTCCTACGGGGTTAAGGGCTCGCACGCCACGCTCGTAATCCAGGGGTCGACCGATCGCTCTCCCGGCGCAGCAGTTGAAGAAACGATGGCGCGCGTTTCT